AAGTTGGTGATATAACCACCCTGGCAGAAACTGTTTTGAGTGAATTGAAAACATGGTAATTTGACTGTTCAACCCAAATGATGTAGACTTTGTGTCGGTTACCTGTCGCTACAATACTGCTGACAAGCCACCTCAAATCTCAGTGGCTTTAGACAGCACCCTTACTGCTCACGAGTCTCCAGGTGGTCTGGGTGGATCTGCCGATCTTGGCTGGATGTGACCCTTCCATCTGGTCATTTGTGGATCAGCCGGTCGCTCTCAGCTGGGCTCACTTGTGTCTGGGTGCTGGACTAGGATGGCCTTGGCTAGGATATGGGACAGGGTGACTCCATGTGTCTCATCCTCCAGCAGGCTAGCCCGGCTATGTTCTTGTGAGGATGATGGAGGGTCAAGAACAGGCACCAATGTGCCAGTGCCTTTCAAGCTCTGCTTGCATCATTGTTGTTAATATGCCACTGGTCTAGAGTCCAGGGCTGGGGCAGATGGGAGACCTGAAGAATTGGAGCCATCCGTGCAGTTAACCTCCCATACACTCTGAAGAAAGAAAGCGCTGCAGAAAAAAAAAAAAAAAAAACTTTAAATTGTTTTCAGCAATCATTTTATTGGTGATTGTGTTGGTATTGTTATTCCTAGACTATTGTGTGTATATTATGTGATAAAGCAAATGTTGGTGTAGTTGAAGGTCTCTGGGTTGCTCAAGTGGTAGGCGATTGGCTCAGACTTACCCAGCAGTGCTGCAGAAGAGAGGTCTGACATCTGCTTCTATAAAGTTGACAGCCAAGAAATCCCTATGGAGCAGTTCTGTTCTGTAACACATGGGGTTGCCATGAGTTAGTTTTTGGTTTTTTGGTTTTAGCGTGGTTGAGGACCAGGGTTTTCGTTATGGAACATCTTGTACCAGAAAGCAGGGAAGCTGGCAAAGACTACTAGGCTTGTTTCAAAAGGACTCAGACACTAAATTGAAGAGGCTCCTATTGGCAAAAGATGGAAAAATTTGCGCATCAGTAAGAATAATAACTGCAATTTATTTCAAAATTCATGCATATATGATACCAAAAAAAAAGAAAAAAAAGTTTAAATCCTTTAGTTCATAATGATAGCCATCTCCCCGTCTTCCCTCACTGCCAAAAGAAATTTATTGTTCACCTTTGGAGGATGCTAAGGAAGCAGTTCATCATTTTGAAAACTGAGAAATAAAGGGAAAGAATCCAGCATTTGTTCTGTCTTTTCTATATGAACTTTCCCTCAAGGTAACCAAATAGTTAATGAGAAGAAATTTTTCTCTATAGGAGGATCGCTGGTAATAAACAAAGAAGGAATAATAGGTTTATAATATCACCATTCTGTAACATTCTGAGTTAATGCATCTAGGCATTGATCAGCACTGGTGTCTATATCGTAAGATGAGACAAGAAGACCTTGTCTTCTTAGTGAAAGCACCACCTATGATGTTTTCTTCCCAACAAATTGAGCCTGAGTCTGATTGAGCCTCTAGATCCACCATCTCACAGGAAATACAGGCAACAGAGGAACACATTAAGCCAAAACCAAAAAAACCAAACCCGTTGCCGTCGAGTCAATTCCGACTCATAGTGACCCTAAAGGACAGAGTAAAACTGCCCCACAGGGTTTCCAAGGAGTGGCTGGTGGATTCAAACTGCCGACCTTTTGGTTAGCAGCCTGAGCTCTTAACCACTGAGCCACCAGCGCCCCATATTAAGCCAGTGCTGCTCTAAGTACAAGAGTGCAGTGAGGTAAGAGCTTTGCACCAGAATGGAAATCAATGTACAGTTTCCTTCTCCACGGAAGTCTGGCTGTGAACATAAAGTCAGCTGAACCCGAACAGTGTGCGGAGTGAGACAGTTGATTAGAAGTTGGTGCAAGCTCCTCATTTCTTCTTGGACTATCCACAAGCAGTTTGAGGACCAGCATCTGCTCTGTTGCCACACTTTGAGTTGTTTTTGTTGTTAGCTGCTGTCAAGTCAGCCCCTGACTCAAGCCAACCCCATGCATGATGCATTGCGGGTCGGACCTTTGTGATCCATAGGGTTTTCTTTGGCTGATTTTTGGAAGTTAATCACCAGGACTTTCTGCCTAGTCTGTCTTAGTCTGGAAGCTCTGCTGAAACCTGTTTAGCATCATAGCAACACACAAACCTCCAGTGACCAATGAGTGGTGGCTGTGGATGAGGTATGTTGGCCAGGAATTGAACCCAGGTCTCCCACATGGAAGGTGGTTCAGAATAACTGAATACTAATGCCTCATACACTTTGAGTTGTTGTTGTTATTGTTGTGTGTTGTTGAGTCGATTATGACTGATAGTGACCCTATAGGACAGGATAGAACTGGCTTCCAAGGCTATAAATCTTCATGGAAGCAGATTGCCAAATCTTTCTTCCATGGAGCAGCTGGTGAGTTCGGACCAAACCGCCAACTTTTTAATCAGCAGCCGAGCACTGAACCATTGCGCCACCAGGGCTCCTTACACTTCGAGTAGTACTGTGTTAACAGCACAGTGAGGATGTAATCATCTGAAACCAGACTGGGGGAAGTTCTACAGGACAGATGCTCCATTTTTTCAACAAATAAATTATAGGGAAAAAAAATCATGGAGGGGGTGCTCATTGATTAGAATTAAGACACATTAATCAATTGCAACATATGGACCTTAGTAAGATCTTGAGTCACACAAACTTTGAAAAAAGAAAAGCATAAGACAATGTTTAGATTTTGGATGATGCCAAGGAATTAATGCTCAGATTTCTCTTTTGTTTCATTGTGCTTTAGGTAAAAGTTTACAGAGCAAATTAGTTTTTTATTAAACGATTAATACAAAAGTTGTTTTGTGACACTGGTTGCCAGTCCCACTATGTGTCAGCACTCCCCTTCTCGACCTCGGGTTACCCATTTCCATTCGTCCAGTTTTCCTGTCCCTTCCTGCTTTCTCATCTTTGCTTTTGAGCTAGTGTGCCATTTAGTCTTGTATACATGGTTGAACTAGGTGTGTTATTGTTTGTTTTATAGGCCTGTCTAATCTTTGGCTGAAGGGCGAACTTCAGGAGTGACTTCAGTACTGAGTTAAAAGGGTGTCCGGGGGCCATACTCTTGGGATTTCTCCAGTCTCTGTCAGACAATGCTCAGTTTTTAAAGTGTGATGATGATATTGTGGCTAGATTTTTTAAAAAGAAGAGTCCTCATAGAACTACATACTGAAATATTAGAGATAAAATGCTGTGACATCGGGGATCAATTTCAGAATAATCTAGGGGCTGAGGGAGTGGGTGGAAGAATAGATGAAGCAGAATTGGCCATGAATTAATTGTTAAAACTGAGCATGGGATTTTTTTTGTGTGCTATTCTCTCTACTTTTGTGTATGTTTGTGATTTTCCATAGTAAAAAGAGAGGAGGCGACCAAAAACAGAGCAATTAGTATAATGATCCTGCCTATACCCATCACCCAGCTTCAACAATTATTAATATTTTACAAAAAAGAGAAAGTTTTCAGGTAGTATAATACTCTTAACTATTGAGAATCTTGTCCTGATCTATGTAATAACTCATTTTAAATATCGGTAGAGATTTGAAGGAAATGAATTTATGCCAAGGAAACAGATCTTAAGGTTGTAGAATGCACTAAAGAAATAAATTTTAAGTGTCTGTTTTAGGCGGTTCTTCAAAATCTGGTTTTGTCCTACTCTTCCACCCTCATCTCTAATCACTCTTCTGCCTGCTTGCACTCCAGCCACTGGGGCTATTTCCCATTCTGTGAATGTGCCATTCATTTACTGTCTCCTTGCATGGTTTCCTTTCCCCGTTTCCCCCTTGGCTACCTGGTAAATTCCTATTTTCAAAGCCCAGCTCAGTTGTCCTTTCTCTTTGTATTTTTTCCTAATCCTTCCAAATAAAGTTAATTGGTTCCTTTATAATACTTGACTCAGTCATATATCATCTTGGGTTAGAATTGGTTGTTTCTGGTCTGTTTCCCTAACTAGATAATTTAAAGGAGAAAGGTTTTACTTTATTACTTCTGTATCTCTAATGCTTGGCACATAGAAGGCTCTTATTAAAATTTGCTAAATTGTTGAATTACCAGAGGACGAAGGTCGTGACGCTGGGAACAAATTCCTGAGGAAGTAGGAAGTGATCTCACTTTTTTTGGGTTTTAAAACTGAAACATCATGTATTCCAGCCTTTAACCTATCAGAGAGGAGGCTGAGTTTGGGAAAGGAGAAATGACTTGCCAAAGGCAGAGTTACAGAGGACCATGACTAAAACTCAGAACAGTAGACACGTTAGGTGGAAAGACTCTTCCCGCTAGCAGCCCAGAACTTCCAGTTCCCATCAAAACTAACCCTGCCCTTAAATTTACTTTTCCCACCTTTTCTATGTACACACATTAGATGCTTTCAATTTACGAATACTTTACAAAGCACCCAGATCAAATCCATTGCCATCGAGTCGATTCTGACTCATAGTGACCCTATAGGACAGAGTAGAACTGCCCTGTAGGGTTTCCAAGGAGTGGCTGGGGGATTCGAACTGCTGACCTTTTGGTTAGCAGCCATCACTTACTGTAGCTCGTAACCACTGTGCCACCAGGGCTCCTTATGAAGCACAGTAGAATGGAAAGAGCAGCTTTGCTTTGGGTCAGTCGCACAACTTTAGAGCTTCAGTATTCTCACCTGAAAGATGAGAGAGTGAGCATTCAGAGGTGGCATGCCATCTCTGCTGACCTGCAACGCTGGGTTGAGAAGAATTCTGAGCTCACATCTAAGCTCAGCAGGAAAAGTGACAGGATTGGTTAGCTGCTGCGGGGGTGCAGGTACAGGGGACAGTGGCATATGAAGTAAGTTTTTGCCCGCACTGAGTGGTAGTATTAAAGAACCTTCTAGGTGTGCACTTTTGTGAACCTTGGAACTCTTGTTTTTTCTAGATTTTCAGTATTTTTGTCCCTTAAGGAAGGTTCATCTGAACTAATAGAGCTTTTCTGTTGTTACAGATATGAGGACAAGCATGCCTATAATCACGTCAAAGAAGTAAGTCTTGATGAATTTTGGCTTTGGTCAAAATTGTGGTTTAGATCAAATCTATTTTTAAGTAGCTGTGTCTGATATGGCAGACCACATCTTTTTTTTTTTTTGTAGTAGATGTGTCCTTGAAAATTGTGTGCATTTAGTACGATCAAATCATATTTCAAGTGCGTTAAGTGAATTTGTTTTTTTTAAATAACCCTAAACTAAATCCTCTGCCAACTTAATTCCTTCCAAAATATAAACTGTAAAACCAGAAAGAATCCCATTGTCATCGACTCAATTCTGACTCATAGCGACCCTGTAGCTCTAATGCATATGTTTTTAAGTCCTAAGATGCCCAGCCTTAGCTTTAGAACTGGCATCCTGCCCAGTGTGGCAGTAAAGGGCCTGAACGACTCAGAGAAAGAGCTTTCCCAGATGCTCTGCCTTTCCTTGTCCATCCTATACAGTCTTGATTCCTTCCTCTGGGCTTTTGATTATGCTCTTTCTTACCTTTTCTTTGACCATTGCTTCCTAATCCCCTAAATACACACACCAAACCAAAACCAAACCAAAAACGAAAACTGAACTCATTGCCATCAAGTCAATTCCAATTCATGACAATCCCATGTGACAGAGTAGAACTGCCCTGTAGGGTTTTCTTGGCTGTAATCTTTATGGAAGCAGATCACCAGGCCTTTCTTCCATGGCACTGCTGGTGGAGTTGAACCACCAGCCTTTAGGTTAGCAGGTGATTGCAAACCACTTGCACCACCCAGGGACCTAATGCACACACACTGCCTGGCTAATTGCTGCACATCCTTACGATCCAGCCTAAACAGCCCCTCTCCTGGCGGCTTCTTTTCTCACCTCGTCCCCTGCTGAGTTGGGTGTTGCCCCTCTGGTCCCTGCTTAGTTGGCTTTGGTACTGTTTGTGGTGCTCTATGGAGTGCGGCAGAATGGAAAGAGCTGCGTTGCCTTGGGTAAATTGCCTAACTCTCATTGCATAAAGTATCCTATGTTAGCTGCCCCTTTTAGATTGTCAGCTCTTTGAGAGCAGGGACCATGCCTGGCTCACCCCTGCATCCCTTGGTAAGATTTTCTTGACTAAATGATCAGCTATCCAAATCCTCATTGTCCTTGAGGTGCAGCCCAAGTCTTAACTCTTGCATGATGCCTCCTAAAACGACTCAAGTCTGCAATGATTTTTCATCTTGCTTCTAGCATTGACTGGCCAAACTTGACAGCTCCTTTTTGTTTACATACTCAGTAACCCCATGGCCAGAGGAATGGCAGGTGGGCAGTAGCACCAGGGAGATCTCAAGGGCTTCTGTGGGCCTAGACCCCAGGCTGAGGGTCAGGGGTAGGATTTAAGTCTGTGGGAGGGGCTTGCTAAGAACCTGGCAGAGCCCCCATCCCAGGAGGAGCCGCACTGTAGGCTGGGTGGTGCAACAGAATTAGGATTCAGAAACAGAGCAGAAGCCCACCTGTGAGAACTGTGCCCACACCAGGTCAGCAGAAAAGACAGGAGAGGTTCTGGACAGGGGAGATGGCCATCTAACTGAAGGTCGGCCCTTTGTAAGTGGTAAAATGTAACTTCAACAATTTTTGATTGATCGTCTTATGCATTATTTGTTGAGCACAGTCCATTTGCCATCTGAATACTCAGAATATTCCAAGGCCCCTCAGTTATCAGGTTGCACTGGGTAGCACGAGTTATAATATGACGTGTTCACCAATCAGCAGGCCTCTTAGAAGCTCAGTCCCCACTGAAACATCCTCTCTTCCCCACTGAAACATCCTCTCTTCCTCCTCAACACTTTGAAATACCTTCTTGTGTCATCACCCTGGTTGATGTTCTCTAACCTAACTGCCGGATTCTCATTTTTAAATCACTGTGTGTGTGATTTGATTACTTTTGTCAACTTCATGAATCCTGCATCTTTTATAAGATTCAAATTTTCAATTTGCCATCAATTTGCTTTGAGTTTATATTACTACAATAAATGACAAAGTGGCAGACTTGCCGTGTAGCAACAGATAGGAATGTCGCATGAGACAGGAATCAGAATTTCAGAGTGAGTACTACAGAAACAATTATGACAAGCACTTAGGAAGTTGAGATTCACATCAATTGGCCTCTTTCCAATAGCAGTTGTCCTCGGGTGATGAGGACCTTCCCTGAGGTGAGCATCAGGACCCTCTGGTGGAGGGGGAGAAGCTGTGGTGTGTTCACATGGGACCGTTGGGTACTCTTGCTGCCTTGAATGGGTCCCATTACTACTTCTAATCTTAACTGTCACCTTTTCCATCTGCCACTCTCCCCTTGAAGTTTTCTAGCTTTTTCCTTTCTAATTCTGCCCCTTCTCCAGCAGTGCTTGGGGTTCATCGCAGCTGGCCTTGACTTTTAGAGGCCTTGTCAGCCCGTGAGAGGACACCTGCTTTGTGACCTGTGTGCCATAGTCTTAGTCATCTGTTTACCTGGTTTTTTCAGTACCACCAGCCTTGCTCAGAGGCCTTCTCTGACAGGCTTTTGCAGCCACTGTGTCATTGGAGCTTTCCTCATGATCCCCCGAGATTGTTAGGAGGCAGGAATGCAGGTGTGGTTCTGGCATTGACAGAAGAGCGGACAGAGAGATGTTAGGTGGCTAATCTCAGAATCACCCAGAAGAGCTGCCTCTAGAACCCAGATCTCTTGGGCTGCTCTCCTCACATCACTGCCCCTGCTCTCAAAGAGCAGTTAATTACGTTAATGTACGTTTTTTTTAAAGTGATGTGTTTTAAGTCGAGTTGACTATTTTTCAAGCCTCCCATGAAGTCCCACAGTAATATTGTTGTTGTTGTTTTTGCTGTTAGGTGCTGATGAGTTGGCCCCCAACTCACGGCGACCCCATGCACAGCGGGACAAAATGCTGCCCGGTCTTGTGCCATCCCTATGATGGGTTGTGGGTCAGACCATTGTGATCATAGGGTTTTCATTGGCTGGTTTTCAGCAGTAGGTCACCAGGCCTTTCTTCCTAGTCCATCTTCAGCTGGGTATTTATTGAGCACTTATTATGTGCTAAGCACTTTACATGTCTTTTCCCCTTTAATTCTTGCAGCAGCCCCATGAGGTAGGTGCAGTTGTCCCTGATTTGCAGATTCAGAAGTGAGCCTCAGTGAGGCAGGGCCACATAGCTAGTGTGAGAACATGATGGGGCAAGCATTGCAACTTGTGTCTGCTTTGATCTCTCAATGGCATAGAGCAGAGCAGTGACCTGTGTACACTCTCCCCCAGTTCCAGATCCTCTTCTGTTCAATCTTTGATTCAGTACTTCTCTCACATTTTTGAGTCAAGGAATTTGATGAAAGTTGCAGATCCCGACCCCAGGGAAATGCACATTGACACACAAGTTTGTGTTCAACTTGAGGAGGTTCACAGACCCATGAAGCCTCTAAGAGCCAATAATTTAGTTGATAGGAAGAGCAAAAGTTCATTTGAGGTCTCTCAAGTGAAAGTTCTTTTAACTGTATGCATCAGTGGCCATGGGACAGGCAAAAGGACAGTCTGCTATTTTATGGGCAGCCACTTTTTTTCCTGATTATGAAAAGTAATCCATACTTTTTGCAGAAAGATGTAAAGAAGAAAATATTTGCCTATAACCCATCATTCAGTAAAACTGCTGTGAACATTTCAGAGTATGGCCTTCCAATCTTTTTCATATGTTTTGTTGTCTCTGCAGTTTGTCTTTTAACTTTGGAGATTCTGGTGTTGTTACCAACCATCTGTCCGTTTTGCAGGTACCAGCGCAGTGTGGAATGGGCTGCAGAGCTCCTGTGTAGGCAGGGCCAGGAGGAAAGTGCCGTGCACAGCATCCTCCAGGATTACACCAAGCCACTTGAGCACTCTTGTTTCCAAAGGAACAAAGAGACTCATTTGCAGGGTGAGCTCAACTCTGAAGTGGATCCCAACCTGGAAGGCCCAGTGGGTAGAGAGAAACTTTCTGTGATGAATGGAGACTCTGGAGAGTCAGATGAGGTGGAGAACCTGAGCAACCAATCTGCCTACCCACAGGAGGGGTCCAGGCAGGATGCTGTAACTGCAAATGGCTCCGATGGACTCATGGTAGAGGGTGCTGCGCCCCTGCCCCATGTACCGTGTGGCCACCATGATGACCTCATCCTACAGCGTGGCTCTCAGCCCGAGGACAGCCGGCGCACGGGTCTTCTCTCTGCCAGAGAGAGCAGGTCTGCTCATGAGTACGTGCTCGTGGAGGAAGTGGTTAGTGATGTGAGCACGGGAAAGGATGCACCGAGTGAGGAAGTAAGTTGAAGAAAACAAATTATTCCCCCAAAACCATCTGCTTCTGGCCCAGCTGAGGTGTTGGTTAACTGGAATGTCCTTTACTAGCACCTGGGAGCAGACATTTAGTAAGCACCCAGGAATGAGAATAGTGCAGAACCCCAGGCTGCAAACACTCCAAAAGGTCCAGGAGGCTCCAGGTACCAGTCCTGGAGCATGTCAGCTGTGAGGACTGTTTCAACTAGAACTTCAAATTTGTGAATGACTGAACTTAAAATATATATATAAATTAAAGCAGGTTTATTAATATTCTCTATTTGATAGAAATACAGTGGTAATCACACATGATCTTGAGCATGCCCATGGGAGAGTGTCTCGTATGGAAGTCATCACGGGAGAAGCATTGGAAAGCAGAGTAAGAGCCACTGTATTAAGGGGCTCACTGTAGAGATAGTTGTTGTCATTGTTAGTTGCCATCAAATCAACTCCAATTCATGGTGACCCCTTGTACAACAGAACAAAAGTTGCCCAGTCCTGTGCCATCTTCACGGTCATTGGGATACTTGAGTCCCTTGTCACAGCCGCTGTGTATTTTGAGTACCTTCCAACCTCGGGGGCTCATCTTCTAGCACTATACCAGACAATATTCTATTGTGATCCATATAGGGTTTTCATTGGCTAATTTTTGAAAATAGATGGCCAGATCTTTATTCCTAGTCTGTCTGAGTCTGGAAGCGCCACTGAAATCTGTCCACGGTAGGTGACCCTGCTGCTATTTGAAATCCTGGTGACATAGCTTCCAGCATCATACCAACATGCAAGCCACTGTAGTACAGCAAACTGACAGACAAGTGGTAGAGACAGAGTTAGCGTGGAATTATCTATAATCTAAAAAATTAGAAACAATCTAATGGCTACGTAGTACATGAAACATCCGTTTAAGGAAATATTATGTCACCTTTAGAATGAGGATTATGTCATCTCATTAAGAATGCTTGCATGCTTGTGAGGTACAGGTGACTGAAAAAAGAAGCAGCATATCAACCTGACCAACAAAATGATCTAACCCTGGGAAGAATTCATAGATGGAAAAAAGGAAATAAAATGTTAATAGTAGTAAAAAGCAAAACTTCCTTTTCCACATTAGTATTAAAAATTCATCTTTTACAAATGTTGAAATGGAAAATGTTTTGTTACTTAGTTTTTACCACAACAAAAAAAAAATTTTTTTTTTTCATTTTTATAACATTAACCCAACAGCATGTAGATCTTGGGAATATAAAATCAAAAATTTTAAAATGCAGTCTATTCTGTATAACCTGTAGTGTCTCCGTTTGTTCTAATTTGTTTTATTTCCTTCTCTTCGTCGGTGCAAACAAAGAGACTAATATGCAGAAGAAATCCATACAGGATCTTTGAGTACTTGCAGCTCAGCCTGGAAGAGGTATGTGTTCATCATTATAACATTTCAGCTGTTGGTCTCCAGGCCGTCACAATGATTTCCCGAACGCCTGGGCGGCACCATGTAAATCAGCCCACGTCATCATGCTGTTTTTGGGGAATGCAGTTATTGGTCACCATAAGTGGCTTCCAAGGTAGACCTGCCTGAATTTCATTCCCCAGGCTTTATTTCATCAATTCTAAGATTTCACTTTTTAACATTTCAGAAATTGGGAGATTTTCCTATATCATTCCACAGAGAATTTGAGGGATTCATCTAAGCACTTCTTTCCACATCAAGACTTGATTGACTGATTATCGTATCTGTGAGTTGGAACTGACTCAGTGGCACCTAACGACAAGAGTTCATCAACTGTTTTTTTCTTTTTTTATAACAGCTTTATTGAGATATAACTCATTTAAATTATACACGTCAGTGGTTTTCAGTATGTTCACAGAGGTTCACCAGCCTTTAATAAGCTATGATGCATGATTCAAATCATGTGGTGACTGCTGACTTTTAAGTAGATGGGTTCTAGGTATTTCCTTCTGCAAAATCACTGAGAATATGTATTCCCTTTACTTAACACAATAGCCACATTCTAAAAGTTGACTAAAAGTAGTTTTCTATAAACCACATCGTATTTCCCCTCTGATTTGGAGTTCCTGTATCCTGTGGTCACACTATGTTCATTCTCTCTTTTTTTGCCATTGTTTATACTGCACGAAGGAGTCCCTGGGTGGCACAAACAGTTAAGTGCTCAACTACTAAATGAAAGGTCGGTGGTTGAAACCCACCCAGAGGTGCTTTGGAAGAAAGGCCTGGTGATCTACTTCCAAAAACTCAGCCATTGAAACCCTATGGAACACAGTTCTACTCTGATGCTCATGGTATCGCCGTGAGTTGGAGTTGACTCAACAGCAACTGGTTTGGTCTTTGTTTTAATAGTGTATGCAGTGTACTTTCTGCCTCCTGAGATTGCCCACATTCTTCAGTCTAGTGCCTTGGGTGTGCCTCTTCTCCAGGAGCCGTCCTGCCTCTCTGGTAGCTCCTGCAGTGTCTGGCACAGGTCTTGGTGTATATGTAGATCTCAACAAGTGTTTGCTGAATGGATTAACGTTGATAATTTTATAGCTGTGCCCACAGAAGAGTAGTTGTGTCTCCATATGCTGTTGGTCTCCCGGTCGGTGCTTCCTATCTTGCAGAGAGGTCAACAGTACAAAGCATAGACTTCCAGAGCAGGAAAGGACGTTTGGAATTATTTCATCTCCTATTTTACAGATGAGACAGCTTAGTTTACGCTGTCGAATATGGTAGCCTCTAGCCATATGTGGCTATTTACATTTGAATGTAAGATAATTAAAACTAAATATTCAAAATCCTATTCCTCAATTGCATCAGCCACATTTCAAACACTCCACAGCCGCTTGTGGTTGGTAGCTGTGTATTGGACAGCACAGGTATAGGACAGTCCCATTATCGCAGAAAGCTCTGTTGGACAGCACTGTGGATACACATTCTCTTTTTTCACTGAGTTTTTATCATGAATGGGTGTTGGACTTTGTCAAATGCCTTTTCTGCATCAATTGATAAGATCATGTGGTTCTTATCTTTTGTTTTATTTATATGATGGATTATATTGATTGTTTTTCTAAAATTGAACCATCCTTGCATATGTGGTATGAATGCCACTTGGTCATGGTAAATTATTGTTTTGACATGTTGTTGAAGTCTATTGGGCTAGAATTTTGTTGAGGATTTTTGCGTCCGTGTTCATGGGTCGCTTGGGATTGAAGGGAGTTTGATGTATTTTCGAGTGCCTGTTTCTGTTTTTGAAGTCCAGCCATCATTCCAGGATATGGAGATCTAGGAGCTCACTGTTCTGTTGTTTGTGGAGAAGGTCCGCCATGTCCCCAAGTGAAGAGGTAAACCTGTTGAGATAGTCATTACGTGCTGGCGCACTCCAGGTCTGTAAGTTCTGAGGACTGGCCTCCCATCCAGGTGACTTGAGGTCTTTACCTGTTCATGTCGTCAGTTGAATCTTCCATCTGACTTGACGATATTCATGTACCTGGGGAGACAAACTTTTGACTCGCTCCTCTTCCCTCCTTAGAGTGTGTTGGCTCTTTACTATAAAAGCAGTCATAGCCGCATATACCACAGTTTCCCAGGAGAACCCAGGGAGACTCAGGGCTTGTCTCAAGCATTCATACATCACCACCAGCAGAGCACTGCTCAGCGTCTCCAGCACCAGCTGGAAGGACAATTTCACGGCAGCCAGCAGGCCCTCCAGGGCTCTGAAGGGCACTGCTGCTCTGCCTCTGGTTGCCGGTGTTCTGTAGGCTACAGTTGACCACACGGAACCCTGAGGATTGTTCTGCTTCTACCCAAACAAGTGCCTGGCAACCAGGACACACCATCAGTGGGCTGAGAAGGGGCAGCCTGAGTTGTATAATGGTTAAGCACTCAGCTCCTAACAGAAAGGTTGGCAGTTTGAATCCACTCAGAGGTACCTTGGAAGAAGGTCCTGGCAGTCTACTTCCAAAAGGTCACAGCCATGAAAACCCTATGGAGCACACAGTTCAACTTTGATACACATGAGGTCATCATGAGTCAGAATCATCTGGACACGACTGGGTGGTTTTTTTTAACTTGGCTTTGTTCACAAATAGAAAGTGATATTATTTATACAGTGCATTTGGAGAAATACTGGTAGGGTTGATTACAGCCAGAGGAGAACAGGCCATGAGCTCTGAGCTCTGGCCACTCCAGTCCCTACCTAGCTGAGGACTTTTTTTTTTTTTTTTTTTGCTTGTGCTTTAGGTGAAAGTTTACAGCTCAAGTTAGTTTCTCATACAAAAATTTGTACACATACTGTTATGTGACCCTAGTTGCAATCCCTATAATGTGAGAACACACTCCCCCTTTTCACCCTGAGTTTCCTGTGTCCATTCAACCAGCTGCTATCCCTTTCTGCGTTCTCATCCTGCCTCTGGACAGGAGCTGTCCATTTAGTCTCCTGTATCTACTTGAAATAAGAAGCAGACTCTTCACAAGTATTATTTTATGTTTTATAGTCCAGCCTAATCTTTGTCTGAAGAGTTGGCTTCAGGAATGGTTTTAGTTCTGGATTAACAAAGAGTCCAGGGGCCATGTCTTCTGGGGTTCCTCTAGTCTCAGTCAGACCATTAAGTCTGGTCTTTTTACTAGAATTTGAGTTCTGCACCCTCCTTTTCTCCTGCTCCATCAGGAACTCTCTGTCGTGTTCCCTGTCAGGGTGGTCATTGGTGGTAGCCGGGTACCATCTAGTTTTTCTGGTCTCAGGCTGATGGAGTCTCTGGTTTATGTGACTGAGGGCCAAATTTGTACAGAGACCCATGCTAAGCTTTGAAGGGAACACATTAAAATGTATCAGACACAACTCTGGCTTAAACTCTAACAAGGGAGAGAAGTCATAGGCTCACGAAACCAATAAGCAATTGTGTTAGTTTTCAGTTGCTGCTGTAATAATAACCACAAGCTGAGTGGCTTAAAACCACATCCATTTATCGTATAGCCCAGTGATCTTAATTAGGCTTTTCTACATGTACTTAAGCGCCACAATTTTTTTTTTTTTTTTTTTTTTTTACTGTGGCACTTTAGGACCACTTTGACTCATTTCTCTTTATTTTCCTTCTGTCTGAGCTTTTAGAAAACTTTCAGTAATAAATTATGAGGAGCTGCTTTACCTTTCCACCACCTGTCTGTCAGTTTGTTGTACTCTGGTGGCTTGCGTGTTGTTGTGAAGCTGGAAACTATACCACCAGTATTTCAAATACCAGTAGGGTCACCTATAGTCAACAGGTTTCAGTGGAGTTTCCAGACTAAGACAATAGGAAGAAAGGCCTGCTGATCTGCTTTGAAAATTAGCCAATGAAAACTTATGGATCACAACAGAACATTGTCTGACTCGCTTGCTTTGGACATGTCATCAGGAAGAATCAGTCGCTGGAGGAGGACATCATGTTTGGTGAAGTAGGACCATCGAGGGTGAGGGAGACCCTTGGTGAGATGAACTGGCATGATGCTGCAACGATGGACTCGAACACGCTGACCATTGTGAAGATGACGCAGGACCAGGCTACGTTTTGTTCTGTTGTGCACGGAGTCGCCATGAGTCAGAGCTGACTTAATGACAACTGCCTTAGTCATCTAATGCTGCTATAACAGAAATACCACAAGTGGATGGTTTTAACGAAGAGAAGTTTATTTTCTCGCAGTCAAAGTATTTGACTAAAAGTCCAAATTCAGGGCATCAGCTCCAGGGAAGGCTTTTTCTCTCTGTCAACCTTCTTCTCTTCGGTGTTCTCCTGGACTGGGAGCTTCTTTGCACAGGAACCCTGGTCCAAAGGACGCGCTTTGCTCCTGGCACTGCTTTCTTGATGGTATGAGGTCCCCAACTCTCTGCTTGCTTCCCTTTCCTTTTATCTCTTCAGAGATAAAAGGTGGTGCAGGCCACACCCCAGGGGAACTCCCTTTACATTGGATCAGGGATGTGACCTGTGTAAAGGTGGTGTGACCCCACTCGAATCCTCTTTAACATAAAATTACAATCACAAAATGGAGGCCAGCCACACAATTCTGGGAATCATGGCCCAGCCAAATTGATAAGCACATTTTTGGGGGGACATAATTCAAACCATGACAACTAACAACAATAGATTCACCTTTGCCTATGCACGAGTAGACCATCTTTTCTTAATCTTTTTGTATTAAATTAAACTTTTTCTTTTTTTTCCCTAAAAATGAATCAGTCTGGCCATGGGGTGATCATTTAGGTAATTCACTTTGAAGGTAAGTGCTGCTTGTCTGTGTGTACAGTACCCCGCTCTTCACTCTGTAGTGTAAATATAAACTTCATAAGCAAAGGGAAAGCCTTATTGATATTTGAATCATAACTGGGTGTGTTTCACTCAGTAGTCTTTTAACCAAACACAGTAAATTATTCTTGATGTTTGTTGAAA